AACTGAGTACTTTCGAACTTGCACAAGATCACTGTGAATATCTTGGTCTTTCCCCATTATAGGGAGGGGGAATTCTACCTGAAGTGTGGAACAGTATTTATAATGATGTATACCAAGGATGTCAGTTAAGTTACTCACACTCATTTCAACATAGCAGTTACATGAATAAAACCTATATAGTGCTTTATTGCTGGGTTTCTTAAATGTATTTAGACTAATATTTATTGTTATCCCCATCCTGTTTCAGCAGATATCTGTGAAAGAACTGGAAATTGAAACAAAAAAGATGAAACAAGAAGATCTGTACCGAAACAAGGTGATCTTAGCACCGATGGTGAGGGTGTGTGCTCTGCCCATGAGACTGTTGGCCTTGGATTACGGGGCAGATTTAGTTTACAGTGAGGTACGCTTCTCAACATTATTACATGAATTCACTTGCAACAAAAGTCTGTTATCTTTTGTAGCTAAAGATGGTTACCATGTTTCTCTACGTAATATATACTTAAAGAATTAATTGATCCCTTTGCAACATATGCTTGTTAATGTCAGATTCTTTAAGTAGCAGAGAGTCTTCACATTCACTGGCAGAAAGTTCTGGTTGTTTATCCACCTCTGGACTTTGGTCTTTTTCCAGAATCTCAGTGTTGCATGCACATCTGTTTAACAGATCTGACTTAATTGTGTGCAGAGTGTTGGTTCCTTACCTCTCACTCTGATGTATGCCCCCAATTAGTCAACTCCTACTGCAAGCTTGTTGGGGAGGCAGTGAGTCTGTTCTTGTTTTCCCCAAACAGGGAGTAGCAAATAGTGATTTTTTTCTTTATCCATTCTTTTTCCCATTCATATTATACTGATTTATTTTATCTTTGAGACATATTTATTCCATGAAAATTAGTGTTTTTGTCTGCTGCTCCTAGGACTGGCTGTGCTTGTATTTTCTGTTCATTCTGTATGAAGTATTGTCACAGTTTGTTGATCTGCCCTATCTTTCTTTCATTTCTTCTTCACATTTACCGGCTGTAGACTTCTGTGGAAAGTTCTGGGTGTTCATCCACTTCCAGACTGGTCTTTTCAGAACATGAGATTTGTTTGCACATCTGTTTTACAGATCTGGCTTATTTTATTTTGGGAGGCTGTTGGTTCCTTGCCTCTCATGCAGATGTAATCCAACTTTGAGGGAAACATCCCTAATTAGTCAGCTTTTACCAAATGTTTGTTAGGAGGCAGTGCATGTTCTTTTTCCTGTCACAATGGAGCTCCGAAACCCATACAAAGATTTTGTTTCATGTGATTTTAACTGTTGTTAATCTGATATATTGTCACTTGTAGATCCCAGTACTTTTTGGTCTTTTAGCTGAATTGTCTCTCTTTTGTAACATATTATTCTTAAAATGACTGTTTATATTTGTGTGTTCTCAGGAGCAGATTGACAGAAAGATCTTGCTGTGTCAGAAAAAGGAGAACCGTAAGTAGATATGCCCCATGTGTCATTTTATGAAGCTATCCACTAATTATGTTAAAGACATCAACATGGAGGTCAGCATGCAGACATGGAAGAGCGATTACATTCCTTGGTTTTGAATTTTAAAATGATGTTATTTTATTATGTAGAATTAGGACCAGAAATAATTAAATATACTAGTGATGATGGTTATACAAATACTCTGTGGTTTCTCGTTCTTCTTCTTCTTCACTTCCTCTTTTACCGCTGTGGGTGTCGAGGGAGATATAAGGTTCTGTTTCTAGCTCTTCTGGCTGCCTCGACCATAGGCACATTGTGCTGTTGTAGAGTTTCTCTGATGTTATCCTTCCATCTTGTTCTTGGTCTACCCCGTGCTCTACGTCCTTCTTCTCTTTCCATGTATGCTTTGTATGGTATGGTGTCACAAGGCATTCTCTCTAAGTGGGCAAACCATTTCACTTGCTGTCTTTGTATGTAATCCAGAATTGGTTCTGTGCCGACTTGTTCTCTTATGATCTCATTCCTGATCTTATCTCTTATGGTCACTCCTACAGCCCTTCTCAGACATCTCATTTCCGTGGTTACTAATTTTCTTTTATGGTTTGTTGTGAGTGACCATTTCTGGCACTGGTAGCACAGAGTTGGAATAAATATGCTTTGAATAAGATGTCTCTTTGTGCTGATTGGGATTGTCTTATGCTGTAAGAGGGGGGCTAACTGTCCCAATACTTGGTTTGCTTTACTGCATCTAATGTCAATTTCTTTATCCAATTTCCCATCTTCGGTAAATGTAGTTTCCAGATTGTGTAAATTTGTTATTTCTGTGATACACAGAATGTAGTGCAGGTGATGATGGGTATATAAAATTAGTAACCATAGAAATGAGATGTCCGAGAAAGGCTGCTTGAGTGACTAGAAGAGATTAAATCATGAATGAAGTCATAAGAGAAAAAGTCAGCACAGAACTAATCCTAAATGACATACAATGAAAGCAGATAAAATAATTTGCTGGCTTAGAGAGAATGCTTTGTTGTTTATTGTTTATTCAACGGATCAACATCATGGCTTGTGACACTAAACCATTCAAGGCATAAGTCAAAAGAGGAGAGGGACATAGAGTACAATATAGACCAACATCAGGGTATTAGAGACACTCTATAACAGTATGATGTTACAACAAGAAGCAGGGCCGTTTATTTACATTGTTCCCTAAATGGTAAAAGAGGAAGTGAAGAAGAAGATGCAGAGGTCCCTATGGAGTGTCACCAGAGCTGCAGGATTTGTGCTTTGTTTGACTCTCTCAGCGGATGGCCCAAGCTATATGGGATCATCACATTGTTCCTCTTGATTTTATCTTGAACCTAATTTTAATTAATTTTGGCATGCTTATATTTCTGTGACAGATGTCAATTTGGCTGTAACTAAAACTTTATCTTGACAGAGGTCCTTCATACAACAGACTTCATGCTATCTGATGGGACCGTTGTTTTCCGAACTTGCCCAGCGGAGAAAGGCAAACTTATTTTGCAGATTGTAAGTATTATTTTTATAGGGTATTTCTTTATTTTGTGCCATCTCCACAATGAAGGTTGACCACAGTGAATCCACTGCAGTTTTAGGGAATATTGCGTGGTGAGGCCTCGATCTCTGCCATAGTGGGACTCTCATACCACCACATGAAGACAAGAATGAGCAATTTTTGTTCATGTTCTATCGGGTGCAGAAGACTGTAGCTGATGCCTGATTGAAGCAATAATGGTGACAACAAAAGCATGGGTATACTGCATCCTGGGGGAGGGGAGGGGGATCATATACACAGCACATTGTTGGTGACTTGTGTTGTTGGGTTGATTGAGCTTGCCCAACTAAATTTAGGATGTCTAAATATACAAAAAATGTTCACTCGTCTCTATGTGTCATATCCTGGACACACAATGTTTTGCTTGGAGATGAAAGGGTTAATCAACCACCCCATGTTGGAAATCAAGCCCTAGTTCTCGAGGGTCAGGACATTTTGTACTCATACACTAAACCACACAGCTGCACTTACAGAGTGTCGGAAGTGCTTTTTGTAATTATTCATTACCAAAAGATTAATTTCATTGTAGCCTTCAGACCTGCAGCTTGGGTATATTTTAGAAATATGTAGTCGATAATTGTCGGCGTCTGAGGCTTAGGCGCTGCAGAGGCGCTTCGTAGTGCCGGGTTCGAGCCCTGCTGCAGACGGTTTGTCTTGCGGTGGTTTCGACCGTAGTACTTAGAGCGGACTGTCCAGAAAGCAATGGCAAACTACTGGATGTAAATTTGCCTAGAAAAACCACAACAGCCAGAAAGTCCTGGGGTTGGTTCTGCACTGTCCTATAAGAGATACACAACTAATTTTTTTTAAAGTCGATAATGCTTCCATTTATTTTCCAGGTCGTATGTTGAAGATCATGTCTTCCACAATCTTTATTCTCAATTACTGCAAGTCATTTCTGATTCATTTGGTCCAACATGCCATAGTGCTGTATTATGTAGCATCTCTTGGTTTCCCTCTAATCCCTTCCAGCTTTTTCATTGTAGTGTTGCACTTACATTTTACCCCTTTTATTTCATGCCCAGAATACGGCCTGCATTATTCTGGTGCAAGTAGTTACTGTTGAGATCTGGACAAAAAGTCGTAGAGTGTTCGACCACCACTGATGTCCAGTAAAAGGCTCTTTTCGGGTCACTGTCCCTTCAGGCATATGATGCCAGACCAATTGGCACTCTCTGGGGGGGGGGGGTGATTACAGCAGCGCCGACCGCCTTTACTGTCCATGACTTTACCAGATACCCATTTTAGCCGGGCGGACCTTAGCCAAGCAGTTATTTTTATGTGTGAACAACTGATTTGAATCCATGACCTTCAGACCGTAAGGCGAGCCTCTAGTCGATACACCACTGCAGCTGAGACCACTTGTGGCAGAGAACCAAAAAGTTTGACAGGAAACTGAATTTCTGTTTGACTTATTATAGCATATTAAAGTGTTATCATATAATTTCTCCAGGGTACCTGCGATGGAAAAAGAGCTCTAGCAGCAGCAAGAAAGCTGTAAGTACATGTGAACTTAACTCTCTTTTTTAGCATACAGCATTGTCCTTTTGTGCTCTAGTAAGTCATGTAGTCTATTCCACTGTTCCATTCTGTCCTGTGCAATCCCTTTGACATGTATGGAATCTAGTCCATCTTTGGCCTCTCTCACTAACATTCATTTTAAGGTTTCTTTTGAATGTCCTGACATCCCCAGTCTCTCCATTTCTCATTTTATTGCCTATTTGTTGTCCAGCTTTTGATGCATGTTTGCTAAATAATGTTCTTTCTTTGCATGTCATTACTGTTTTTACTTAGCAGAACGATATCAACAACAAAATTGTGAGATCTTCCAACTGTGTCTTCTCAACCAAGCTAATGCTGGTGTCTCCAACACATCATTTTTTCATTACCCGGTCAGTGGTTTCGCATAATAACCAGCAGATAACCAGTTCATTATTATTTGGCTGACTTAGAAGCTCTATTAAAGGCTTATCAGTAGATATTAGATCATCTCAGTTCGGCAAAGGGCTTAAGCCTGAAGCTAGTATAGACATTCTCCAGGCCCAAAAGTAGACATCGTCCTTCTAGCTCACTTGTGGACATTCTTTTTCTTTAGTGCGTTTCAAAAGTCATGCTCTCCCACTTTAACAAATATCTCAAAAACTCTTGTACGATGAACACACATTTTTGCATATGGCCTAAGATTGTCCATGTCCTTAGGATTTTATAATTTATTACTGCACAGGTGAATTTATTTGATCTTTGTTTGGCTAATAATTTATGTACCCCTAAAATAGGGATGTACATACAGTATTTGAGACACGTGGAAATTGTTGGAAATCAGTTCACATTTGTAGCAGTGATTTTTTTTTTATATTTATCGATCACCGGCTGTGAATTCCAGTGGAAGGTCCCGGTTAATCGTCCGCTTGGACTTTTGGCTTTCACCTGGACCTGATTTTTGCGTGTACAACCGTTTTTCATTTCCCTGCCTCATGGGCAGCTGTACTCCGACTTCGAAGGAAGACGTCAGGCCTATTTCTAGGTTGACTGTGGCCATTGTTTTGTGTGGGTCGAGATGTTGCCTGATTTGTGTGGTGTCCACTTTGTCTCCTCCGCAGGTATTGCCCTCGGAGTACCCCTTTGGGGCAGCCCCCTGTGGAACAGTTAGCCCTCAAGGGAAGGCAGGGGCAGATCATGGGCATTCCCCGCCATCCAAGGAGGCTTCCATGCATGCAGAGCCGGCACATGGCGCTCTGGTTCTGGGTTCACCCAAGGAATCGTCACGTCCTGCACATGCCTGCTTAACCTCACAACCGTATCAGGCCTCCCGCTCGACAGGGGCTGCGCCCTCTGGAAGTCAGCGGGGAGCAGCCCATGGGTTTTGGACTTTTGTGACCACACAGATAGGTACATTCTTTTTTCTTCGCACGTTAGATTTCTTTGACGAGCCGTTAGCCCGACAGAATTTTACATCCTGCATCAGGCATATCGTTATCAGTTTTGTCCCAACACTCGGGCGAGTGGGGTCTTTGGGTGTGGACATTCGGTCTTTTTCAGTTCAATACAAATTTTGATGGTCAGATTTTGATCCGTATGATCTAGTTTTGTCGGACAATTAGGATGGTTGCTGTTGTGGTGTACCTCAGCGCGGTGTCGACGACACTGAGGGTTAACCGAGGATGTACATGAATGGCCAGCCTATGGATGGTTGCTGTTGTGTAGCAGTGATTATTTTGAGGATCCTCTGACAAATTATATGCATGTAACTAACTGGAGGCTAATGTTGAAGATGATCACCTGAGAGTGAAACGTGTGCAGTGTGATGTTTTGAAAAGTTCCCCTAACTCAACTGTTTGCTTTTAATTGGGTCAGTTCATTCATATTACACAAATAAGGCGAAATAAATATTAGGGGTATGTTTACATTTTTTTTACAATGCCCACAAGGATATGTATGATTATTAACAGGTTGCACACCCAAATTTCAACTACTTACACCAAATGGTTACTGAGTTACAGATGTTTAAAGTTGTGCATGACTTTTGGAATGGGCTGTTTACGATGATTCGTACAGATATGCTCATTGAAATGTGTTTGGCCGAAACACGCATGTATTACAACCCAGCTGTAAACCACAATATATCATGCCAACCACCCTTTTAAGGGAATACGAAGAAATATAACACTTAGGGAAGTGGCTATGAGTTACTGGTTTTACCTCTAATTAAAATAGATTACAAAATAATAATCCTGAAACTGCATGATCTGTAATCTGTGTGAACAGAACTTCTCTTTTGTTATTACTACACACTTTTACTCTGTGAGTCCCAGGGGGTTTAGCATCAGAGGCCCAAGGGGTGGTAGTGCCATTTTTTTTAACTTACACGTGTAACACATTAAAACAGACCATACTAATTCAATTGCCGCGCAACATACACATATTATACATCAAAGTGACCATGGATTGTTGAGGAATAATTTTAGAATACAGCTAAAACAAATAATTGCGTTAGTAATTAAATATAAATAAATAAACAGACAGTATGTTTACAAAAAAATTAATAAAATGAATTTTTTAAAATGTCTACTTACCACCATGGCACTCAAGGAAAACTGGTTAAAATGTATCCAAAATGAATCACAAATGAATATGAACCACTTAGTGATGTATAAGTGAAATATAAACTCAAGCTATACATTAGATTTTGTTCCAGAGAATCTTTTGAAGCATCATAACAGAGCACAATTATTTGGTAAAGAAAACTGACTCCCAAAACAATACGTATCTTCACACAAAACAAAGTTTTTATAACACTCAATTTGCCTGTAATTTTGTAGCTATGTTCCTAAATAATAAGGAGAAAAGCACTAGAACTCACTGACACTGAAGAAAATTGTCTTTTCTATAATGTTTTTTCTATTTGTGCCAGCTGACTTTGCTATCATTGTACCCTTCGCGTGAGGTAAACATCCCTCATCAAAGTTTGACTTTATAAATGATTGAAACACATTTAATTTGCAACTTCATCTATCTGACTTTGGATATATCTGAAAAAAAACACGTACTTTATTTAAATTTGAGGCTTCTTTAGCCGTAAATCATGTTGGTATGCACGTAGGATACTGCTTGGCGGCCATATTCTTTTCAAACACTTAATCACTTGGCCAATTTCGCAAATATACTCTATTTTCGGCTTTGAAACCACGTTTTCAAATGAGCACGCCTGATATCAGACATAAAGAACTCGAAAGGAAGTTGAAATTGAGCGTCCGCGTTTTATTACCGGTCTGCCGTAGATTAAAAAACCTTTACTTGTCACGCAGTGATTAGGCCCTGCGGCTGTAACAAATTAGCGCGTGATGCGTTCCCTGGGACTTTAAGAGTTAAAATTCATTGTGTTTTATGTGTTTGTGTGTGTTTTTTTTTTTAAATTAGTTACTGTGTAACTGGCAAGCCAAATTATCCAGTGCGTAACAATTAATCACCAAACTTGTGTAATCTTAATATTTCTCTTATCCCATTTATAGGCAGGATTACATTGCAGGTGTTGATGTCAATATGGGCTGTCCGAAGGAGTTTTCTGTGAAGGTAGTTGACTCCTACTAGAATTGTATACGAATATTGTGTGCGTTAATGTTTATTGTCTAAGCCATAAACTTCTCCTGCTCTTTAATCCCTGTCTGAATATTATCTCTGTGTGTAGTTCCTTCTGACTTGTTGCTATTAAGATGTTATAAGTATAAGGTATTTAAAATCGGTCTCTGGACTGTTATATAGATCTTCTTATATGTTCACTGAGCAGAGAATTGTTTGATAGTCATCTTGTGCTGTGAAATTTTTAGAAGTAGGTGTTGCTTCTTGAGCTGCTGTCAGCTTCCAGAACATACTCTTTACTTTTTGCAGATGTTTGCTGTCAGTGTTTACAAGTGCTAGTATTGTTCTGATTTTTTCCCCATGTGTGTCACAAAACCAGACACCTTTTTGCCATTGTATGTTGATGCAATGTCTGCAGTATGATCTTAACAAGAGGCGAAATATACCCGGCAATCAGTTACTTTTTCATTTGTCCCCCTTTTTTAAATTCAAAACCAGAAAAGATGGCTTTATATAGGAATTGTACTGGATTTTGATTATAGAAATAAAGTTAATCACACATGTGTTAGTTATAATAATAGTGGCTTTAAAAAAATTTCATTGTAAGAACAATGCTAGTAACCAATAATGTGATTTTAGAAATGTTGTTTTCATATACATTTGTTATAAGATAAGAAGAATCATCATCATCATCAGGTGCCTTGTCGACTGGCGTGGGCGATCATGCCTCTCCATAATCCGCAATCTCCTGCAGCATGTATCAGTTCGTGTGCCGACACACCTCCATGCCATGCAACAAGACTGTCAAGCATCTTCTCTCGTTGTCTTCCTCTATCCCTCCTTCCACAGATCTTTCCAGTGGCCACAACATGTTCTATTTTCCCTCTTCTCATAACATGGCCGAAAAATGATGACTGTCTCCTTCTGATGTCAGTGATAAGTTGTCTTCGGTCTCCCGCCTCTTTTAAAACCTCTTGGTTGCTCTTTTTGGCTGTCCAAGGTATTCTAAGCATTCTTCTGTAAAACCACATCTCTGAGGCCTCCAAAAATTGTTTGGCCTGCCTACCGATTGTCCAGGATTCACATCCATATGTTAAAACTGGATGTATGTAGCAAGCAAGAATTCTTTTTCTAACTCTCAATGACAAGGATATATTGCACAAGATGTTTTTCATTTTATAAAATGCAGTTTTTGCCTGTCCAATTCTGTTTCTTATTTCAGTTATGCATCTTCCATCTGATGTTATCCATGTGCCCAGATACTTAAATTTCTGTACTTGTCTTAAAATAACACCATTGACTTTTATTACACATTTTGGAATAATTTGTTTCTTTGATACCACCATTACTTCTGTCTTCCCATTATTCCAACTGAGGATACTGTATAAGAAGAATACTGTTTAAAAATAAATAGATTATTGGAAAAATATGAAAACAAATATATTTATATTAGAAATAATGATGGATACACATATATTGATTATAGGAATAAAAACTTCCAACCTTTATATCCATAAAAGGGCCGTTGGTGCATTTTGTTGTGGTTTATGACTGTGTGGTGAAATCTGCACAATTTAGTGCATCACATCCAATTTCAGCAAACTTCTGATTAATCACTGTTTACAGCAAAATTAGCTGAGAGTATTTACCTCCTAGCAAGTCAAGTGCTAATCGGTCTATAAAATGTGGGGTAGCACTATATACGCGGTATGCCTTATGTCAGAAAAGGTGATCCAGTCCATAACTGCAGTGTTTTTTTGTTGTTTTTTTCCACAGGGAGGTATGGGAGCAGCATTATTGACACAGCCTGAGAAGGTTAAACAAGTAAGTCTTTTGTGTTGGTTTATACTAGACTGTTGTTCTTGAACTCTTTGAGTCCCAGACTTGTTATTTAACTCTTTGAGTCCCAGGCTGTTGTTTCTGAACTCTTTGAGTCCCAGGCTGTTGTTTCTGAACTCTTTGAGTCCCAGGCTGTTGTTACTTGAATTACTTCTATCCCAGGGAGTGAGCTTACAAGTAATATCAAAATCTTTATCTAGGAATTCTGCATAACCTCACCTAAAGCATTTTTTTAATCATGTTATTAGAAGAAGAAAACTGGAACATGTGACCACTGAAAAGATCTGTGTAAAAGAGAGATAAAAGAATAGAACATGAGAAGATTGTCTTGACAGCCTTTAGTCATGGCATGGAGGGGTGTCAGTGCAGGAACTGATAATGCTGTTAAAGGTCACAGGGTGTGGAGAGGCATGGTTGGCAAGGCACTTGATGATGGTTGTCCTGAGACAGACAATTGTGAAATGAAATTACCCAGAAATGTTATTACGTACCAAGCAGATGACCATGTGCAGATACAGTGTGCCATCTCACTCGCTAACCGCGGCCTAAGACTATGTTTGTGTTTTTGCCCACTTATATATAGTCCATACAGTATGATGTTGGTAGTCATGTCTATCCAAAACCTTCTGTCTCAGGCACTTTCAGTCAGTTCTGACACAGATGATCTTGCTTGACATGATGTCAGAATTTTCTCTCTCGGTTTCCCTTTGCCTTTTCCCCTCTCCAGCTTTCCCACCATCACGATGTACTCCAGTTTTTCCTTTTCTTGACATGACCAAAGAATGTCAGTTGTCTTACTCTGGTGTGGGAAGTCAGATTCTGTTGAGATTCTTCATTTCTGTTTCTATCTGTCCAGGGTATTCTCATCATTCATCTATAAAACAAGATCTCTGCCACTTCCACATGTTTCACTGTTTAGCCAACTGTCAATGACTCATTTCCATATATCAGGATATGATTTATGTCCCTCTTTAGATTTATCTTTGTCACCTCAACTGACAACCATTGCATAGAATATTCTTCATTTTGTGAAATGCTGCCTTTGCTTGGGCATTTAACTTCTGTAAAACATCTTCTATCATCCCCGTGTGGGTTCCGGGGCCCCATTGTGGGGAAAACAAGAATAGACCCACTGCCTCCCCAAAAGCATGTCGTAAGAGTCGACTAATTGGGGAGCTTCCTTTGAAGTCGGAGTGCATCTGCTGGAGAGGCAAGGAACCAACAGTCTGTATACAAGAGAATGAGATCTGTAAAACTGATGCACACACAACACTCAGGTTCTGGAGCAGGACTGCAGTTCAGTAGTGGACGAGCCACCAGATCTTTCCACTAGAGTGTACAGCTGGTGAATGCAAAGAAGAAGAAGAAGATCTTCTATCATCTGTTATCAGGGTGCCCATATACTCAAAGTGCCCAAGTACTTAAAAGGTATCAGCATGCTTGATTATGCCAAGTGACCAGTCCACAAGTTATATGTATGATTATGCTATCTGCAGATTTTGTCAACCCTGGTCAGTGAGCTGAATGTTCCAGTGTCATGCAAGATACGAGTTCTTCCTAAGGTATTTGGGTTGTTACTTAAATTTAAATAGACATTTTGTTGTTCAAGTCGGATACTGTTTTGATATTTTAAAAAATTGTATGTTTTAGCCTTTAAATGAACGGAAAGATGAAAAGAGCAGAAATGATCTCATGAATGACTAATGACGGCACCGGGAGAGTTGGAATACAACTGAACACTTGGAGGGATGTTGGCAGGAGAGACAAAGTCTGTTAAATTCCATGTATTACGTGCAATAAAGTTGAACAGATCAGTTGTCTCTCTTCTTTTAATGTTCGTTGTAGACTGAACAGACCATTATGGTCCAGTGTGTTAATAACAGTTGTATTTATTACTCGATCTATGTTTGGTTAATACGAATTTGTGAAACCTGTGGTGCAGTTTCAATGGTCTGAGACGTTTCTGTCTGTATTCCTTAATTGCAGGTTTGAACCCTATGACAGACATGGCTGATGTAGACACCTTTGTTAGGGATGCTAGTTGTCGTGCATCTTAATACACTTGTTCCTGCGCCAAGACACTGTTATGTGGAGTGGCATGCTTTTGATTTTACTGTTGTCTAGTATGTCCTTCTATCTTTCTGCTTCTTTCTATGAGTGCCAATCAGTGCAGTTTTATTTGTTTATTCTATATGCCTGCCTGTATCCATCACCTAATGCTGACAGCTAAATTGCTGTTACTTCATAAGTGAAATTAAGTAAAGAACTTCCCCCTCCCTTTTTAAAAAAAAAACAATACTGGCTAATATAAGGTATATTATATTGCTAGACTTATTTATGTTAGACCAATTGGAACTCAGTCACTGGTGGGGTCAGTGTCTTGCTGGCCACCTTTATTTCCCAGGACATTATCTGGTACACGTTTATACTGTTTCAACATGGGAGCCAAGCTCAATTTGAAAACTTCTGTCTGGATGCTGATTCGGACTCAAGTGTTGCTTCATATATATATATATATATATATATATATATATATATATATATATATATATATATATATATATATATATATATATATATATATATATATATATATATATATATATATATATATATATATATATATATACACACACACACACATATTCTGTTTGTGAATGATTGTTTAAAATCTGATTGCCTTCACAACACAGCTGGAGGACACCATCAAACTAGCCCAGCTGATTGAGTCCACTGGAGTGTCTGCCCTGGCTGTGCATGGGAGAACCAAAGATGAGAGGTCTAGAGACCCCAACAGGGATGACTATATCCAGGCAGTTGCTGCAGCTGTCAGCATCCCTGTCATAGCAAAGTGAGTATTGTTCTTCATCATTCTTTACTTTACTTCGAAGTTTATCTTGGAGACAGTTGCCCACATGGCATAATGCTTAGTTTGTTTGCTGCCAACACAGTGCACCAAGTTCGGTTCCCAGCAGTGGCAGGATTAATTTTTTTCTAAGCAGTATGGATCTGGCTTGATAATATGTGATAATAGTTTTGAGATGACAGTAATTGAGGATATGGTTCTTAGAAGAGCAGGCAGTGGTAAACCAGCACATTGGTGAACACAGGATATGAAAATTGGCAAGGGATTGTGTGGCAGTCCACTGTCATCAAGAGAGCGAAGTTTTGCATAGAACTGAATCAGGTAGTCACAGTTCCAACTTCATGGCACACGAGTCGCCCCATAGTCGCTCTGTTCCTGTGACAATGAAAGCCACATAGAATGTCCATCACTGCCCCTGGTGTTAAAAGAATTGAACCCAGACTGCAGTTTCAGCAAAACCAGTAGCATTCACACAGATTATATACATAAGGCACCCGTCAGAAGTGCCAACACAAATAATCCTGCGCTAGAAATTCAGTTCATCATTGATAGAAACAGCAGTAACAAGGGATTTGTAGTTGCATGCAGTTAATCACCTAAGTCACCACTAGGTCTCTAGCAACAGGCCACTCAACATTTCTGACTCAGCAGTTCACCACAAAACCACATTTGGCACAGTCATAAAACATTCCAAATAAAATTCACAGCTCACAGTGTCATGCTATGCACTCTGCTAAGTAGCTGGTCGACGAAACTATCATTTCTGTCTACATGTGGAGGAAAATGTGACAGCTAATTATTGTCAGAAGCAAAAATGTAACCCTAACTAAACACAGCCTACCAGCGTCATTGACAAGCAATCTTGGTACCTGATACATGATGATGGCTTCTTGGGTTGACCTAGAGTTTTAGAATGTGTACCAAACAAGTTTTAAAAAATTGTTGGGGAGGGGGGGGGGGGGGGGGGGGAGTGATGAGGAAAGGAACATGTCATAATAAGTAAGGGACCCTTTCCTTGCTGGCAGAACTCGTATGATGCTAAAGTTAAATAAATGACCCTTTTCCATGCCAATGGGCATATAGGGCTAGACCTGTATTTTATAGACCAGTCGGCACTCTATGGGGTCAGCTGCCTTTACTTCCCAGTACTTTGCCTGGTATCCATTTAAGGCTGGATCAGCCTGGGAGCCAAGAACATTTTTTTTAGAAAGTCCATCTGTGTAAGGACCTGAACATATGATACCTTACTTTAAAAAAAAAAAAAAAATCAACACTAGGTGGCTGATGTAGCCAACATTAGGCCGGTCTCCTTTACATCCCAGGATTAAACCTAGAACCTATTTTAGGTTGGGTTGACCTTTGGCGAAAGGTCATTTATATCGGAAATCTGACTTGAACTCGTGTTCTTCGGACCATTAGGCAAGCATTTAGCCGCTATGTCACTGAGGCTGCCCTTCATTGTTTCATGGTAAAGCGCATATGAAGGCACATCCCAATCATAAACAGCATCTGCCATTGGACTGCCTGTACCATATTAAATTAAAGAGTGAAATACGAAAGATGGGGGAATGATATGGCATGAGCTGCATGCGATAGCAGACGATAAGATGAGTTGGTTGAAGTTCTTTTTTCCAGTAGAGGATCAATGGCAGAAGAAAAAGAAATGGCAAATTTAAAAGTTAAGAATGAGAGAGTTAGCAAATAAATCATTTCTTTCTCAGAGAGTTAGCATATAAATCATTTCTTTCTTAGAGTTGCCATATAAACCATTTCTTTCTCAGAAAGTTAGCATATAAATCATTTCTTTCTCTCTTTTACTTGGCAGTGGTGGCTCCAAGAACATCAACAGTTTGACAGACTTGGAGAATTTCAAGAACACCACCGGTGCCAGTTCTGTGATGTTAGCACGAGCAGCCATGTGGAACTGTTCTGTCTTCAGAAAACAGGGACCTTTACCAGTTTTAGGGGTCCTTAAGAGTTACCTTAAATATGTATGTGAGTGTGATATTTCTTGACTGTGTATGTGCTATCGTGTTTTCTTGTTTCTGTTTTTTAGCTTGCTTGTTGCTTATATTCTATCCTGATTATTGTTTCTCTTAACTTTATTTATTGTTTTTTTATTCTTTCCTGTTCCTTGCTTCTGTTCAACCCTGTTTAATGTTTCTGTTCTACACTGTCTCTTCTTTCTGTTCAACCCTGTTTAATGTTTCTGTTCTACACTGTTTCTTATTTCTGTTCAACCCTGTTTATTGTTTCTGTTCTACACTGTCTCTTATTTCTGTTCAACCCTGTTTAATGTTTCTGTTCTACACTGTCTCTTCTGTTCAACCCCCTGTTTATTGTAATGTTTCTGTTCTAACACACCGTTTCTTATTTCTGTTTCAACACCGTTTCTTATTTCTGTTCAACCCTGTTTAATGTTTCTGTTCTACACCGTTTCTTATTTCTGTTCAACCCTGTTTAATGTTTCTGTTCTACACCGTTTCTTATTTTGGTTCTGGGCTGTTTAGTATGCTCTACCCAGGGATTTTTTCTAGCATAAAAGGTGCTATTACTCACCAAAACGTGTCTAAAAATGGGGCTGATTCTCGTTTTAAAGTGTCTATTACAGTAGCGCAGAAAGCAGTGACATCTAAAAAAAAAAAAAGTGCTGGTACTGTGTACATCAAGAAAAAAGAACCTGGCATTACCTTATAATGTTTCTATATTTCTTAGATCAATAAGCAGACAGAAAGCAATGAGTCAACCCTAGAGCTGTACTGGCAGGAGGAGTCATGCTACAACAGGGGTTTAAGCCAGACCACTGTGACCTTCAAGCCCACCAGTGATACACACCCGGTGACACAAGGTGCCACTGTTTTCGGATGAGGATCACAAGCCCCTGAAACCCCATTTAACCATTCGGTTATATTAGGGCCCTTATGACAGCCAGGGTGGGGTTTAAACAAATAAAAAAATTTAGCCTTATTACGGACAGAGTCATTAATTAAGTGTACTAAATTTGTGTCTGTATAACTTTAACACATTACATACACATTGCACAGTGTTTTGGCTGACAATGTTGAATGTCCATCCTCTTTAACTTTATTCAATTATTGCAATAACATCTTTAATGTTGACTTCATGAACAGAATGACTTAATTTGTTTTTGAAGCCATGCAAGAATCTCATGGAGTTGTATTTCTGCATGAAATGTCACAGGCATTCCAGTATGACAACAATGAGATGAACACCAAGTACTGTGTCCTACAGATGTTGCATGACAGAATGACGGAAGTCCCACAAGCTGACAGATGCCTGACTGCCAAATCCTTGAAAGATTTTGCGTAGGTTTGCACAGCATTGTAACGTTCTTTTCAATACCATATTTACATATTATTTAAGTCTGTGCCTTGTGGCATTGGTAGTCATGTCTATCCACAACCTTCTGTCTCTTGTACTTCCAGTCAGCTCCGATACAGATGATACTCCATGACATGATGTCAAACTGTCCAGCATCTGTTCTCTCGGTCTCCCTCTGCCTCTCCTCCCCTCCAACTTTTCTGCTGTCACGGTGTACTCCAGTTTTTTTCTTCTTATCGCATGAATGTAGATTGTCTCTTTCTGATGTGTGTGGCTTTTATTATTTTGGATATTTATTCAGGAATGCCTTACAGGTATCCCAGAAATTGTGAAAGGATAGGGAATGTAAACCTGAAAATGATCTGAAATCAGAAAGGCGATGGAGGTGGGGACCACACACCTGACAAAGCTCTACTTGACATGAGTTGCATCTCCTCATGAGGGACATCAGAGACTTACCCCAACATTTCATAACTGCTTGTTGCTTTATTTGACAATTGTATATTCCGTGTCATTGCTTCTGAATGGATGACGCTCAAAATATTGTCAAATTGAACATAAAACAGTCAACTACTGAACTGCCTAGAGCTGAGTCTAACCCCGTTGTATTGAAATTATTAACCAATATTCCTAACCCCTAAGGCTCATCGTCAAGTGCCATGCCGACTGGCGTGGGCCATCTTGCCTGTCTACAGTCTGCCATCTTCATCAGCATGAATCAGTTTGTGATTTGACACCATTCCTTGCCATGACAAAAGGCTGTCAGGAATTGTCTTATTCTGTCTCTTTCTGATGCTTGTCATAAGTTGTCTTTGAGCCCTCAACTCTTTTAAAACATATAAGTTGATATCTTTGGCTGTCCAAGGAATTCTAAGACCATGCCTGATAAAGCAGTGCAACATAATTCACATTAGGATGGCATCTTGAATTTTTTTGTCGAAATAAGAAATAATAATTTACAGCTTCTTGGGGATTTTTCTCATAGGGACATCTGGGATATGAAAGCAGAATATGAAAGTGTGATGGAACAGCGATATGCACGAGAGAAGGAGCTTCTGGCACAACAGGGAGGTGCATGTAATGGCGTGAAGAGGAGAAAGATGGACGATGGATCTGTTCTTATTGAACTCCCTGTCAGATTTGACAAGTAAGTATCTCTTATCTTATGGGTCAGCTTATTGTTCACCTGTCCAGTGTTCAGTCACTGTACTAACACATTATTTTTTTCAAAATATCTTTGTTCATGAACACATCAAGTTAGCCTATTTAATACAAGCATGTTGTAAAGGTTGATTAATCAAGGGTGCATCCTTCAAAGTCAGTACATCTGCCTGAAATCTGATCATCCAGTAGTGTGCATACAAATATCAAAACTGCAAAATAGATTTGCCTGCAAAACTCAAGTTCTGGAACAAGACCAAAGTACAGAAGTGGACGAACAACCAAAACTTGTCTGCCTGAGTTTCTAAGGCGAATAAGAAGAAAAATTGTTTACAAAACCTTAGATATGCAGAGCATAATCAAAATAGGCAACTAAGCCTAGAAAAGAAATAATAATAAAGAATTCTATAAAACTGCTGTACGTATTTTGTCACCACTTGTAGCAGAATGCCTCTTTATTGCAGACGTCATTATCCCGCCACCATGACACCCAAGCAGATTCTCAACAACTGGAGCAAAAGGAATGGCTATAGCAAACCAGAGTACACCACCGTAAGTGAAGCTTATTTGTGGACATTACTGGCTGCATGAGAGTATCATTAAACACTTATTATGCTAGAGATGTTTAGTTAGGAATACAAATAGCTGGGGGGGGGGGGGTGTATCTCTAGCTGCTTAGTGAAAATAAAACTTTTAAAAAAAAACAAGATCAAGACTCACTCGAATTTACGTTTAATTATAATTTAGTTACATTACTACTGATGTATGGATCACAAACATGGGGGAAGGCTAAAATAGTTACTGGTCTCTGGATCAGAAACATAGGGGAGGGCTAAAACAGTTATTGGTCTCTTTATCAGAAACATGGAGGAGGGCTAAAACAGTTATTGGTCTCTTTATCAGAAACATGGAGGAGGGCTAAAACAGTTATTGGTCTCTGGATCAGAAACATAGGGGAGGGCTAAAACAGTTATTGGTCTCTTTATCAGAAACATGGAGGAGGGCTAAAACAGAAACATGGAGGAGGGCTAAAACAGTTATTGGTCTCTTTATCAGAAACATGGAGGAGGGCTAAAACAGTTATTTGTCTCTTTATCAGAAACATGGAGGAGGGCTAAAACAGTTATTTGTCTCTTTATCAGAAACATGGAGGAGGGCTAAAACACTAACTGTCTGCTTGGTGGTCTGGGGGTTCAACTCCCCTTGGATGTTTTTAACATTTGCCCAAGACTCAAAATTCCTTCCTCTTCTTGTCTTCTTTTCTTTTCTAGTTTCTAATGGTAGAACTTAATAGAATTATAACTGTGCATGTGTTGTTTTTCCTCACAAAATTTGAAAAAAAAAAAATTTAAGGTTATCATGGGGTGAAAGGGTTAAGGCAAAACCTATCCTTAAAATTTCAAGAAAAATATCTAAACCAGAGAAAAAGTAGAACTAGTCAACTTTACAGTATCACAAAACACAGGCGACAAGTGAACATTGCGGCTTGACAGTCTACATCAGCACATTTCATCAGTCAGTGCTATCACAGAATCACTGAACTGACATAACACTGGTAGCCATCATGTTGTTGTCTGGCCAGTGAAATGAATTACACTTGTGGTTCACATGATAAATATATGCCTGCCCATCCTTAAAATTTGTATTGGTTCATTTTCAGGATAATCTGAGAATTGTCTGTAAAAGACAGGCAATGAGAAACGAAGCTGGTCGTCCCACCTAATTCGGTCATTGCGTAGAATATGTTTAGGCTAGACTCTACAGATGGCTGTTTCATCAATGTCCAGCAGTGTTTTATCTTCCAGCATATGATAAAACAGATATCTTTTATTCTTTGTTGATTTACAACTTAACTGAAGTACGACAATATTTGAATTATATTGCAGACAGAGCGAGCTGGTGATAGATATTACACAAGTATCGTGTTGTTTGAAGGAAAGCTCTACACTAACCCATTCTGGTATGTCTTTTTCTTATCTTAAATAGATCAGTCCTTCCCCATATGGTAGTCCAAAGGCCTGTCTGTGGAAAACATTTAGAGGGTCCTTTATATCATTTTTTTTTTTAAAGCTCCAATTTTAGAATGCAGTTCTAGTTGTAATAAATTCAACCCTGTGGGAGTCACGAGCCCTTTGTATTGGGAAAAGTAGACTCAGTGCCCTTTAAAAGAGTGTCATGGGAGCCGACTGATTAGGGTTCCTTTAGAGTCAGAGTGCATCTGCCTGAGCGGCGAGGACGTGCGTAAGGAGTTGTGTATAGAGAGATACTCCGTATCTGCCTCGGATGCCGGCAGCCTTTGTGCTGATTTCATGAATTCTCGTACAAGGTAGTCTTGGAATTGGTGGCCTCTCCCTCATAGATGCAGAGCCCAGAATCCGCCAGGACTCAACCGCTGGTACTCATCAGCCCACGCACTGTGCACGGGTGAAGCGTACATGGAACACTCATTTTGAACATGAATAAGGTCCATGGCAGAGTACCCTACCGAATGACAGACCTGGGTTCAAATGTTTATCATCAGAAAGTGCTGTACTGTATGACTTGGCTCAAACATCTGTCAACTGAGACTCCTACTGTATAACTACTTAGGTTTAAATGTCCATAAATTGAGTGTCCTACCTTAGGACAGCAAGGGTTAAGATGTTCCTCGCTCAAAGATCCTACTTTATGACTGAAAAGTTAAAGACATCCTCTACCAATGGCCACACTTGTTAGAGTGTGGTGACCATACAGGGAATCTATGCCTGATGCAAACTTCTCACGTATGCAGCCAAAAGTGCCCTGGAGCACCCACACAAAAGTTGCGTGCTTTTGTCAAAGAGAGAAATAGACTGAAGAAGTGAGATGCCCATTTGTGGAGGTAATCACAGTCTCAAGTCTGCATACTAATTCCTGGTGAACCCTAAGTGTGTGGCCCATGAATGGAGGGCTTGGTGTTTTAATGTGTAGGGTTAGGCAGTCATGTGCAGGAGGTGACGATTCTTTGGATGAGCACAGTAGCAGAGCACCATGTATCCCATCATTTATGGAAGCCTTCTTGGATGGTGGGGAATGCCCATGCTCTGCCCCTGCCTTTCCTTGAGGTTCGACCAATTTGCACGCGGCTGCTCCTCATGAGGTCCTCAAGGAACGACACCTGTGGATCAGGGATGATAACATGACCATACACATGAGGCTACAGATGTCCCACAAAACTAACCAGGGAGGCTAACCCAGATTTAAAATGCTAGAAGTTGGATCGTCGCTGCAAACAGGTACAACACATTTATGTCACTAAGACAGATGACAAATAAGAAGAAGAATACACACGGCATGATCAGTATGTCTCTATTTCTCTACGGTGTAACTATTATTTTTATCTTTGTGCAGGGAGAAATCTAAACAGCTGGCAGAACAGAGTGCTGCCGTGTCCTGCTTGGTGGCCAACGAACAAGATGATGGACGTTTGATAGATCCACCACATGAAACAGAAGAGCTGCGAAGAAAATGGCGACATATCATTAACTCTTCGGAGAATGGGGAAGATAAAGCAGATTCGTCAGTTACCAATAGTCACACTGAGATTAGTAATAGTTCACAGCCGAATGGGGAAGGTAAAACACATTCGTCAATTACCAACAATCATACTGAGATTAGTGATAGTTCACAGCCGAATGGTGAAGATGATTCATTAGTTTTAAACACCCAAACTGAAAAACAGATAATTCACAGCCAAGACTGGACATCGACAACTGATCCTGCAGGAAAATAAAAGACATAATTGGGAATTGCAAAGATTGAAATATATTTTGTTGGTCTGGTACTTGTAGTCCAGTGTTGTGCAATTGCTGTTTTGTTAAGATTCCCTCCTACCTTCCCCTTTTCTCTCTCTCCCTGTCTCACACACACATACTGTCTCGCTCTGTCACACTATCTCTAGTCTGTCTCATACTGACAACCATTCCCTCTCTCTGTCTCTCTCTCTCACACACATACATACACAGTCATACTCCCTGGCTCTCTGCAAACACACACCCATTCTCTCTCTTCACACGCATACACACTGTCACCCTCCCTCTCTGTCTCTCACACATTCAGTCTCTCTCACACATGCATACACAGTGATGCATTCCCTGTCTCTCACAAACATACACTGTCACTCTTGCACTCTCACACACACTCCCCCCCCCCCCCCCCCCCCCTCTCTCTCTCTCATACACATACACGTGTCAAAACATGGATTTCAATCCTGTGTAAAAAAAAGAATATTGTTACACATTTATACCCAAATGCACAATGACTTGTAGCTCACATATGGATGTCATGAACACTTTGATGGACTTTTCCGGTGGAGCCACTGGAAAGTGGACAAGCAATGGACCAGGCTGATATACTATAGGCCTTTACTGAGGCAGGCTATCAAATTAAACAATTGAGCACTTCAGGCTAGACTTGACCATGTTGTAACAAGAAGCTTGTAAAAACATGGTAAAGCCAGTAAAGTGCTGTGCAAGAGACCAAAGAATAGTCAGGAAAGGGCCCTTTTTTATGCCAGTGATGTATCAGGCTGTAGTTAGAATAAATCAGGGAACATCTCATCCATTCACAGTAACATCTGGAGTAAGACAGGGGTGTGTCTTATCACCACTGCTGTTTATCAACTACATCGACAGTATATGCAAGAATGCCAAGCCCATGAATGAAAATGTTAGTAAGATCAACGAATTACTCTTTGCAGATGACCAGGCCTTGATAGCAGATACAGCCATGAAATTGCAACAACATCTAACATCCATGAATGAAGAATGTAAAACAAATAATATGAGAATCAACACTGAAAAGACAGAAGTAATGTCAATAGGAAAAAAGAAAAAGAAGACAGATCTAAACATAGCAATAGAGAACAAAGGCATTAAACAGGCATCTGAGTTTAAATATCTTGTTTACTACATTTACCGAAGATGGGAAATTGGATAAAAAAATTAACATTAGATGCAGTAAAGCAAACCAAGTATTGGGACAGCTAGCCCCCCCTCTTATAGCATAAGACAATCCCAATCAGCACAAAGAGACATCTTATTCAAAGCATCTTATTCCAACTCTGTGCTACCAGTGCCAGACATGGTCACTCACAACAAACCATAAAAGAAAATTGGTAACCATGGAAATGAGATGTCTGAGAAGGGCTGTAGGAGTGACCATAAGAGATAAGATCAGGAATGAGATCATAAGAGAACAAGTTGGCACAGAACCAATTCTAAATTACATACAAAGACAGCATGTGAAATGGTTTGCCCACTTAGAGAGAATGCCTTGTGACACCATACCATACAAAGCATACATGGAAAGAGAAGAAGGTCGTAGAGCAAGAGGTAGACCAAGAACAAGATGGAAGGAAAACATCAGAGAAGCTCTACAACAGCATGATGTGCCTATGGTCGAGGCGGCCAGAAGAGCCAGAAACAGCACCTTATATCTCCCTCGACACCCACAGAGGTAAAAGAGGAAGTGAAGAAGAAGATGTATCAGGCTTTAGATACTAGAATTTGGCTGAATAGACAGGACTCAAGCAAGAAAAGATCACATCAACTACATCTGATTAAGTTGGAAGGAGTTGATCTGTCAGCGGCAGATGGTGACCCAACGACATGCTATGTTTTAGGACTGAGGATGTTGATAAGTCAGGTTTTTGTGACTGTCGTGTATAGCAGTGTTCTTCAACCTGTTTACACCTCTGGCCCACCAACACAGGGGAAATTGTTTCGCTGTCCACTTGACAGGTAAATCTAACGAACACAAATAGAGCAGTTTACTGGTGAAATTCGGTGTCACGACATAAACAATTTCAGCATATGTGACATCTTTTACTTTCATCCCTGAGGATCCTTGACGTGTTAATCTTACAGACTGCAATCCTGGAAAAGAAAAACTACCTTGTCTATCCCATTATTCTAATGTTTGGCGGCCCACTGGTTGAAGAACACAGGGCTTTATAGTATTGTCCCTTCCTGGGATCTACTGAAGCTTATGATAGTGACCGAGCCCAACACACAAAAGAAAAAATGCAAGAAACTTAATGTGCAGTACATTATTTGTTTCTGCATCACTTAAATTCTCATCCTCCTCTATTGCTTCTTTGTGTTCACCAGCAGAAAGTTCTGGTTGTTTGTCCACATCCAGGATGGTCTTGTTCCACAACCTGAATGTTGTGCACATCTGTCTTCAGGATCTGGCTTATTTGTATGCAGACTGTTGGTTCCTCGCCTCTCAGACAGATGACTCCGACTTTGAAGGATGCCCTTAATTAGACTCCTACAAAAAGCTTATTGCGGAGACAGAGGATCTATTCTTGTTTTCCCTAGAATCCACACTGGGATTCTCTAGTTCTGGTCTACCTTTCAGTGTCAGCTTTGAAGAGACATCGGGCACCAGCCTTGGTATGTGCAATACAGATGCTGGTACAGCCTCAGATATTCTGTGTGGCCAACTTCTATATTTTTTTTCTATTGTGTGTAAGTGACAGGGCTCTCTGTGATGCACTATCTGGTTGTAGCCTGACAAATGTCTAAACAATTTGAGTCTCTTGATGTAGATTAGTACCGGTTCCATCTCAGCATGTTTCCTGGTGTCATCATTTCTCATCATTAATTATTTAAATTCCCTAGGGGAAAACAACAAAAGTGACCAAGAGTCATGGGCAAAGTAGTCTAGTTTATACAAATTTTACAGCTGGTGAGCAGTTTTGTGTATGGACAAAATATATTCTGGATACACACAATACAAGAATGATGAGCACATATGAGATGATTCCATGAAACCAAGTGTTATCAATATCAGCAGATGTTGGTGATAATTTCTCATCATTACAAACAGAAAATTAAAAATTTTGAGACTAATTAAACATATAAGATAAGAATGACAAGAGGGCATGGTCAGGGGTAGATAACCTACAGGCTGCTGTTACCATTTGTGTAGCTTCATCATCATCCTCAGTCGCCCTTTAAAAAAGTGATAGGCAAGTTGTCAGGAGGTTACAGCTAGGCTGTGTTATCTGCGCCTTGTGATCCAACACATCAACACCAACATCCTAATGAGTTGTCTTTTTATGACATGTTTGTTAGGGGAACAATGGGTGTACACCTTCTGCCCTCTAAAAGAGCCCCAGAACCTAGAGGAGAGAGCTTGATCCGAGTGTTTGACTATGTTTTCTTGAGAGCTAAATACAGAGCCAATTCAGATGTATGGAAGTGAATCAGGGACAGTCAGCCCATTAGAAACAAAATTATGTGGAAACTGTAGGGATATGCTAGTATAGACGAATTATGGATAGTGTAATAAAGACACTTTGAGAGAAAAATAAGAAGATAACTGATTACTCTCATCAGAAGAAGATTCTACATTCTTTGGTTACACCATTAGAAGGGGGAAAACTAGTACACTGTGATAATGTGAAAGTTAGAGGGAAAGAGAGGTAGAGGGAGACGATGCTGGACATTTTGGCATCATGGCATGGGGGATTTTTGGGATCAGAAATGGCTGAAAGTAGCTGAGACATAAAGTCGTAGCATGACCACCAGCACCATACAACATGGAATTTTAAAAAAAAAAAGTGTTTTCTATTAGAGATAAACAATGCTTGCCCCTGAACTTATTTGTAAGTTATCTACCCCTGGGCATGACCCTATTCCTCTTTTCTTCACGTTCACTGACTGTACATTCTAGCAGAAACTTCTTGTTGTTCGTTCACTTCTGGAGTTTGGTGTTGTTCCAGTACTTGAGTTATACAAATCTGGCTTATTTATATGCAGACTGTTGGTTCCCTGCCTCTCAGGCAGATGTACTATAACTTCAAAGACAATGACCATATTAAAGCAAATGACAATGTTGACCTGTAAAAAGATGTACCAAGCTGATGTTAATTTGGAAGCAGTCAAAAGTATATATAATTATAATTGCAACTGTTAGTCAGAAACTAGCATTCCTGTTTAAATAACTTTGTTCCTTTGTTCACACTCATGACTGTGTTACGAATGCCTTGAACGGCCAGAGTAACTAACAACGATTGTTTGAAAGAAGCTAACGAAAGTAGATCTCTATATACAACAATAAGAAAGAGACAAAGACTGTTCTATGGCCAGGAAATGAGAGGCGTTGGAAAAAATTGTGGCAACTGGAAAGATCAGTGCAACAAGGGGTAGAGGCAGACCAAAAGAGAAGATTCTGGATGGGCTGAAATGATGGCATGGAAGGATATCAAGAAAGCTGTTCCAGGGATCGTGATCTGTGGAGCACCTACGCCAGTTGGCAGGGCACATGATGATGATGTTCACACTGGGCCCTTGAAAAGTCTGAATGTTGACACAGGGATGGGTTCACATGCCAGTTATAACAATCACATCAGCACACTCTTTAAACATAATTTTTGCATGGAAGAGAAATGACAATAATGGCACCTGGTCATCTGTCTTCACAGTCAAGATCTACAGCTAACATAGATTTTATACCTTGTTTGGGGTGACATTTCATTTTTCTTTCCTGCAGTGGTTCTTTATATTCTACTGTAGGGAACTGAGACATTTTATACTCTCCTTCAGTAATACATGCGAGAGTCAATTGTGATGTATTTCATACTCTCCTTCAGTAATACAAGGGAGAGACAATTGTGATGTATTTCATACTTTCCTTCTGTAATACAAATGAGAGACTTGTGATATATTTCATGCTCTCCTTCGGTAATATAAATGAAAGACTATTGTGATGTATTTAATATTC